AAGTTCCTAAGTTGTCTATCCGAGACTCCAAGTTGTGATCTTCCTGCCTCAGCCTCCAGAGTGCTGGGGTGGGGAGTCCTGGAACAAATTCCCTGCAGATACTGAGGAACAACTAACTATACAGTAAAACATTCAACTACCGGCTGGACATGGTGGCACAAGCCTGTAATCCTAGCACTCGGGAGGCGGAGGCAGGAGGATCCCTGTAAGGTTAAGGCCAGCCTGGGCTGCACAGTGAACTCAAGGCCAGCCTGAACTACACAATGAGACCCTGTGTCAAAAACCAACAAATAATAAATATAAAAAATTCAGCCCCCGACGTGAAATTCAGAGGCAGGGGAGTTGGTCCTCGTTGTGATGTTTCGGGGTGCATAGAACAGAAAGTGCAACCAAAGTGGCTTGATGTTCAGAGCTTGCTCCCCCCACATAATAAGCAGCAAGGCCACGAGCAGCTCCAGGACTGATTCCATGGGCGGGCGATGCTGGCGGGCACCGGGATTGCTCTGTCCTTCTGCAGTCATCCTCAAGCTCTGGCTGTGTCTGTAGTCTCTGTCCCTCATGGGTCAAGACGGCGGCTGCAGTTCCAGGTAGATACTGCGCGTCACCAGGCATGTTTCCTTCCGTTCCCTTCTGCCATGGGGACGGTGACAGGGTCACAGGTGCACTCAGCACATGGTAAGGCTCAGCTGCACCCCAAACAGGGCAGAAAGGAGGGAGAAAGAGTGTCCCGAGGGAACAGGCCAGAGGCCTGGGGCACAGATGCCTGCACAGGGCCAACGCTGCGACATGCCCGTGCTGCTGTACACAGCCCTCTTCCCACGGGTGGGATTTGAGAACCAGAAAAGTTAATTAATTTTGCAGAATCCCTGAGGTGATCTGTGGTAGGAGCAGGCACAGCAGCTATTCCTTTTGATTTCGTCTAGGGTTAGTGAACAGTGTTCCTTCTTAAAGATTTTTTTTTTCTTTCAATATGCCTTTATTTCTCTTGACTGTTTACTTTGACTATCATGTTAGCTTTCTGTCACTATAACAAATTACCTGAGATAATTAACTTGTAAAGAGAAGAGGTCTACTTTGACTGGCAGTGGTGAAGATGCCACCCCATTCTCTTTTTTTAAAAAAAGTACAAATTAAATTAAAACGAAAAGTGACAAGTGGTACAGATTTTCACTTAACAAATTAATATGAATCCCACAGTATTTGTTGTAATACACAGTGTTGTCTTCCAAGCAGTTATTCATATTATCAGATATATGCATGTAAAATTGGAATAAGGAAGAAAAAGAAATATATGAGAAATTAAGAAGCATAAAGGAGAAACAATTGAAAAAGAGATGAAACAAATTAAAGTATTAATTGCTCTTTTCCATAGAGCAGCAGACATGCACAGTACAGCTGTACAAACCACCCTGCTTACCTACCTAGATAAATCTCTTTCCCCCACTCCCTCTCCTGTCCTCCTCCTTAACTCAGTAACTCCCTCCTTTTGAAAAAGTTCATTCCCTTTTCGCAGTGTCTAGTGTCCCCTCCAGATTCAATTTTTCTCTTTCAGGTTCTCACACTAAGGAGACAATATGATGTTTGCACATGTGGGTCTAATTTATTTCACTTAAGAGTATGTTCTATACTTGTATCCATTTACCAACAAAAGACTCAGATTTATCCTGTCTTATAGCAGTATAATACTCCATTGTATAAAAATACCATATCTTCCTTATCCATTCTTCAGTTGATGGGCATGTGGGATGTTTCCAGAATTTAGCTATAACAAATTGCATTGCTATAAACATGGGTGCACAGGGGCTGGGGAGATAGCTCAGTGGAATAAATGCCTGCCTGGCATGTGCAAGGTCCTGAGTTCAATCCCTGGTACCACCAATAAATAAATAAATAAATAAACAAACATGGGTGCACATATATCACCGTGGTGTGAAGTTTTCATTTGTCCTGAAAAAATACGCAGGAGGGGAATAGCTGGCTTGAATGGGACATCCAATCCTAGCTTTTTAAGGAATCTCCACACTGACTGTCATAGTGGTTGTACCAGTCCACACTCCACCAGCAGTGTGAAAGGGCTCCCTTTTCTCCACAGCCCCTCCAGCATTTGTTACTGGCTGACTTCTTGATGTTAGCACGTGTACCACTGTGCCCTGCTCTTCCCTTGTATGATTTTACAGCCCTTCAAAGTTACGTGAATGAGAACCCTCTGGGAGAGAATCTTTTCAAGTGGCTCTAGCTCTTAAGATACCCAAGTCACTAAAGCCTAGCAAATTGCATGGCAATCTATCTTAGTCACAGGCCTGTATTGGTAGACACTA